TGTGTCTCTTATGAATGCTACACCCTCTCATTTATCTGATTGTGTGCTGGATCTTCGTACAATACTAAGAAGTTAAACTATATATTTCTCTTCCGCCACGAATACTCCAGGACGCAACAATACTAATATTCCACTTTTTGGTCAATTAAAAAGAATTAGAAATTTTGCGTTAAAATAAGATATTCTAAGTCATTATGAATTTTGTACATCCTCATATTTTTTTATGATTAATGTAATTCACAAATAATCAATTAAATGGTATTTTAAACTAATTTTAAAATAAATTTCGCTATTTTAAAAGAATTATGATCAAAATTTAATCAAAGCACCATCATTCAATCATTTTCCACCAAAAAAAAAAATTCAAGATATAATATGAATTTGGGATCCAAGAACTTGAAACTTCAGCTATGACAAAATGAAAGGTTAGATAAAAATAATGAATTTAAAGGCTCTATTTTCAATTTTGAAAATACTTGCAAGCAATGAAAGTCTCCTCTTAAAATGTTATTTACTTGATCTTATCATAAACAATTTGAAGACATTTGTTTCGTACAAAATGTTTTTGATAAGGCCATCACATTAAGCAAAACAAATATAAAACGACAAATATAAAAATTCTTGCCTAACCCTTCCAATAAAAATAGTGCCCATTTTTTTCTTTTTTTAATCATCAGACCATTTGGTGATTAAATTAATGTAAATTGATAAATTTTAGTTCAGACTGTGTATATTAAAAAAATTATAATTTTGACAAAGATGAAAGAAATACTATTATCATTAATTAGATGATTATGAATACTTAAATAATTAAATCTATTGATCATAGATTAGAAGAAGGAAAGAAAGAAATTAAGGAGTTGGAGCTCAATTAATGAATTTGTTTATTAGTGCGGAGAGCCAATTAGCAAGGACACTAATGATTTTGTTTTTGTATGTTTAGGGCTTAGTAGTAAATTAGTTGTAAAGCCTGTAATTAGCAAAACACTGAACAATATCTAGTATTGGCTCCTTATTCATAATAAAAAGTCAAATGTTCGTAAAATTTCGCTTAGAAAATATTAAAATAAAAATTTATAATGAGAAAAAAAAATCAAGATATTAAAAATGCATAAATAAAATCGACTAAACTTACGCTTCATTTGGGACACTTTTGGCCAATGCTTGTTTTTTCCCCATCGGGCTTAGATTGGTTGATGGGCAAGCATGGCTGGGGGGTTCCTAACCTATTTTTGAATCCCCTCTCAAATGGCTCGCCTCATTCGAAGGGAGTAGCAAAGCATGGGCCTGGTACCTGTGGGTTGGCTCCGCTAGGTCCTGCTGAGGAATTAGTTACACCGTCAAGCACCTCCTACCGATGTGACAATGGGTAGATATTTTTGTTATAAAAAAAAAATTGTACTAGAAAATTATTTTAAAAAAGTATTAAGAAAACTGTTTCAAACAAAACCTCAGGCTTAGCTTAGGGTAGCTTTTGAACGCATATATCATGAAAATTTTGTACTAAAAAGTTACTTTAAAAAATAGTAAGAAAAGCAACTCACCTTGCTCTGTTGGTTGGGAGTTCTGGTAAGCAATCAAAAGGTATTGGGTTCGAGTCTCGCGTATGTATTGTGTATGTGAATTTGCCTTAACTCTTAATTGAGCTAAATATTCCGGAAAAAAATAGTAGAAAACTGTAGCAAGCGAAATTTTCCTAACTAAATCCAATATAAAAAATACATATAAAAGGAATTAAACAAAATTGGAATCAATATTGGCAAAGCTATTAACAAACTTAGAAAGGCGGCATTAATTAGACTAATTAATCCCTAGCGGTGTTCGACGAATGGTCAATTCCACAGAAGGTTAGGTGCACCAGTAGTTTGGTGGGAGATTTACTTCAAGCAATCAAAACAGTTGGATTAACGCTCTTCGGCACCAAAATTGATGCGCATTATAATAATCGGACGGCTCGCCTGCACATCACAATAAAAAAGATAAGGGCGGTAGTGGGACCCATGATCACGAAGTTGCCAACTATTTTATGATTATTATAATACTTTAATTAAGCAACTTTCTTCCTATTTTATTTTTTAGGCCACTACCATACTTTTTAAAAATTCTCTTATAAAATTAAATTTATTTGGGCATGATAGCTATAATTAAAAAAAAAATCTATTTTTTTAGAGAATTATTTATAATATCTATAATAATTTTTTAAAAAAATTATTTTTCTGATACAACTTCTATAAATTAAACCAAAACTTAGACACTGAGGCTCTCATTATTGATAATAATAATAATAATAATAATAATACAATATTATTAATACTTTGTGAAAATGGTCGTAATTTAACGTGGGCGATATATGAAAATGGAAATCGATAAAGCAAGGAATCATCACATGCATCAACTCCACATGTCACATGTGCTCCTTATCTTCAACTATTTAATGGCAAGGAGTTGGTGGACTCCACAATCTCTCTCTCTCTCTCTCTCTAATACTAAATAATAATTAATATGTGATTAGCGATAATAATATTGTAATAAAAAAATTGTTTCCCTCGTTATTATTTATGTTGCGTTTGAACAGTTTTTCTTTACTATTTTTTAAAATAATTTTTTAATACAAAATTTTAAATATAAATTTTTTTTTACTATAATAGACGCTCATCAATAAAAATATGTGTGAACAATAGAAATAAATAATATTTTTATTTTTATTAAAAAAACCCATGTTAACTATTTTTTATTTAAGAAATAATTAAATCAAAATAAAATTTGATAAAATGACACAAGATGTAATTTTTTTGTTATAAATTACATAAATCATTTGATCTTAAAATTAACGATGATATAATCGATATAGTACTATAGGGGAAAAAATAAAATGCAAAATTTAGGAGATGACTTCCTTTGAACACGACGATTGAACGTAGAAACTGATGGCGGTTGACCGTTGACCCCACTTTTTTATGAGTAGAGGAGATGGGCCTAATGATGGGATCGAACGGCTGGCTGAAGATTGTTCTTTGGAGGATACGCTTTGAGTTGGCTCATTTCTAAGCATTCTAGAATGAAATTTTTCTTAAAAGAATTTGAGAATTTATAAAAGTCAAAGTAATCATGAATAAAAATTTAAGATTTTGTTTGGGACGACTTTCTTATTTATTTTTAAAATAATTTTTTAATATAAAATTTTTTTGAATTAGAATTTTTGTACTAAAAAATTATCTTAGAAAGCAGTAAAAAAGTCTTTCCAAACAAAACCTTAGACTTTTTGTTTGGGACTACTTTCTTAATGTTTTTAAAGTAAATTTTTAGTATAAAATTTTAAATTTTTATACATAAAAGCTGTTTTGAGAATCATTAAGAAAACTGTTCCAAATGAAGTCTTAGAATGATTAATGCATGTATAATTTTAAAAATTATTTACATAATTTATATTTAAGTTTTAAAACAAATTATTGAATTCATATATATTTATATATGTGTTTTCAAAAATATTTGAGATATTTTTTTCAATATTATATTTTATAAAATGGTATGGTGCTTTTATTTATTTATAAATTTTTTTGTTAAATTTGAAAATGCAATTTTCCTAATCAAATATATTTGAGATTATAAACTTGGATACTTTGAAAAATCATATTTTTTGACCTAGTTATCGTAAAACTAATCTTGAGCTTTTGCCAACGTGAAAAAAGTCCATACTAAAAATGGAAGGAAAGTAAGGTAAGGAATTTATGCTTCTCGTGATTCATGCGCTTTTATTGTAAATAATTCCGTCTAAAGGACAAGCACTCATTCATTCAATTCCGTGTGAATGCTTTTCTCTATTTGTTTTGGTACTTTGGACAGTGATATCTGTGAAGAAGGCTATGTAGTCTGCACATACAGCGCATGCAGCCCTTATTACCTCATTCTTATTTTATGGATGAATATATCTTAGAAGGATTTAGAGAGAATTGTCCGAGCAAAGTAATAGCTGACGGCTCAAAATAAATTGGCTGGCTGGCTAAAAAAGAAAGATAGTTTAAAAGGAACATAGCGTAAAATGACTATTTTTTTTATTGTTTAGGCTTTAGAAAATAAATTTATATGAATAATTTTTTTTTGAAGTAAAATAAACACAATGTAAAAGTCAAAAATGGTGGTCGGCGATGGGTGACTGCCGTTACTATTGAGGGTGGTGACAACGATGATGACTGGTAGGTGGCGGTGATCAGAGAGTGGCAATAGTGGTGGCAGATGGAAGTGGTGACTAGAGTGTGCCGATGGTGTTAGTTGGAAGGGTCGCGGTGGTGGTGATTAGCGACTGACGACGATGTTGGCCGTTGCCAATGATGGTGGTTACCAGAGGGTGGTGGCCGGCGGTGCCCGACATCGGACGGCTATAAAGTGAGCTTGCTTGCGGGGTAAAGCATTCTTGCTCAAAACTGTGCGAGTTTACTTTACCTCATAAATGAACTTGAATGGTTTATACTATATTTAATTAATTTAACTTTGAATTTCTTTTTTATCAAACCAAAAGTCAAAATTGTTAAAATCTCTGCATTTGGAATACTTTACCCTCTAAAGTATTCCAACAAAATAACCCCTTAATTTTGGGCTTTTTTTTTTTTTGGCAAATATTTGAAGTTAGCCTAAATGAATCCAATGACATTGATTTCATTGTTGACGAATTTGGGCATGAATATCTCCAATTGGCCCGTCTTCTTATTGAAAAATTATTACTTGCGGAGTGCGCACCGTCCGCATAAGTATTGGGTACCCAGCGGTACCGAGTGCGAGTATCGCTAAGTATCCAATACTTGTGCGGACGGTTCTCCCCGTCCACCTAATAATCTCTCATAATAGGGCATATTTAAGACGGAAAACCCAGTCAAATCCGAAAAAGAGCTTGAATATTCAAACCGACCCGATTTGGCTTGACCCGCCCAGATGACACTAGGCCCGAGCCTATTCTATTAAATTGAAAAAAAGCTCGCTCGCTCGTTCTAATGCCACGTCCTTGACCTCCGATCCGATCTGTTCGCTTTTCTACTTCTCCTAGTGGGCATCGCTTCTGATCTCCTTGTTCTCGTTACCAAAACCCTAGCTTGCAGCGTGCTTTGTGACCTTTGCAGTTGACGGAGATCAACTGCAGCACTGGAAGCGAGGACCTGACCTGGCTAACGAATAGTTAAATTCGGCTTTGCGATCGCGCCGTCGCATCCGATCGCCAGAAAAATGAAGAAGGCCAAAGCTCCGAAGGCCAAACTCGAGCATCAGAACGGTCACGGTCTCCCCTTCAAGTTCGCGAAATTACTCGATCCGGAGGCCTCTTGGGACAAGGTAGGCATCTTTATTAGACGCCGGATTCATCGCCAAGGCTGTCTATGCTGTTGTAACATTCATTCTTCTCTTTTGAATTCTACGGCCATGAACTCGTGCGATATCTGAATATGATGTTGTTTGGTGCCTTTGTTTAGGATCAATTGGGGGATGTTCTGCATTGGATCCGGCAAGTGGCGGGTTTGATGTGTGGATTGATCTGGGGCGCAATCCCTCTTGTTGGTGCAGTATGGATTTTAGTGTAAGTCCTCCCAAAATTAGCAATTAGTTTTCTGGTAATGCTAACCGCCTTAATTGCTGTTAGTGAGTTCGTCATTCATTCTATATTGAGCATTAATTTTCAGCATACACTGGTGCTATAATTTGAAATATTTGAGTGAATCTAAATTGATGTTTAACTAAATTCACCCTTCAAGAGCTTTCTTTTCATTCAAGAGGCAACATCTAGCCAATGAAGGATTGTTTTAATGATGGAGACTAAGCAATGTCTGCTCGCACATTGATTAAGCAAGGGGCGAAGTTGACGCCCTTTTTTTGCATGAAAACCCGAAAATTTCAGTTTTTGGTGGAGGTGTCAACTCACTGGTATGACATTGAATGGCCAATCTCGGTTTCAATATTCAGCATGGGCAATGGGGTAACTCATTCAATGTGCTTTACAACTGAGTGGATATGAATACTACAGTATATTGTTAATTGTTATAAATGCTTTCTGAAACTTGTGTAAGGTGCTTTTTGAGGAAGATTTAGGGATTTTGAAGAGTGCTCTGAGTGAGGAGAGTATGCTAGTCGAGAGGTTGGGTTTAAAGTGCTTTTGAGGCAAACCAAGAGGATCTGTAATGATTCCTTGATGAATCCCTTGAGAAGGTCTCTCAAGAGAATTTTCCTAGAAGAATTTCTGAGAAGGATGCTTGAGAGGGACTCTCGAGAAGGTTTTTGGAGAGGAGCTATGGGGACACTTGACTTGAGCTAAGTTCCTATTAATGTGACACTGTCATGCCATTGTTTTTTTGTAATCCTGTTATTACTGCCAGGGGCGGAACCAGTCCTAATTTTTAGGGGGGGGGGCAATTGCTTAAAAATTCTTGTAATAAAGACTAAAAAATGGATGAAGATGAACAAATTACCTAAAAAATCATATAAGTTTTTTTAAAAAAAAAAAGTTTTGAGGGGGGGCAATTGCCCCCCAGACCCCAATGGGGTTCCGCCCATGATTACTGCTATGAACAGGTGGTTGGCAAAGATAGTGTCAAATCTTCAGGAAATCTTTTTTATTTACAAGTTCACCTTTTTCTAATAATGAATTATAACTGAATGTCCACCTTCTTATTGGATATCAAAACGACCATGGTAGAATCATATGACAAGTCATTCAATATGCATGAGTGTGTGAATTCACCTTTATAACTATGATGTGTGGTGGTCTACAAATAATGTTTTATGTCATGTTTTCTCTGTAACTTTGAAGAAACTTATATAAATTTTTTTTTTCTTTTTCTTTGCACTATTCAATTAGGAGCTTAAACTAAGCTGCACATTAACAATTACCCATATTTTCTTTCAAGTAATTACAACTGAGGTGATTCTTTTCATGATTCTCTTAACTTTAAACATTTCATTGCGAAGGCTACAAGTTCCCTGACCTTGGCTGAAAATATCTATGAGGATCACTTTGGAGTTTACAATTCCCACTAAGATGACTTATTGATTGTCGATATGGAGAATCATTATTGTCATTTATACTTCCATTGCGTCCTATTCCACCAAACCTTCATTAATCACTTCCATCACCCCATTATCCACTGGTTTTATCCTATCTTTATCTATCTCCTTTTTCCATCAATAATTAATTAGGAATAATTATTCTCAAGGAATATTGGTTAAAACTAATTGTTGATTTGATAGCCACACCAAGCATCAAATGATTGATTGACTTAAATGGTCTGATGGTTGAAGGATTTCTTGTGGTATTATGCAATGCTACTTAAAGTGGCTTTCTTTTTAAACTTAATTGTTGGGTTTGATAGTTCAAACTTCTCGAAGGACTGAGGAAACTTCTTACCTATAGTTCCAAAGGTTTTGTTTGCTTTGGAAGGTTGAAGAGCAATTTTCCGCCAAATGTGTGCAATATCTAGGTCATACACTTCCATAACCTATCCCTCACTATAATGGATAAATATTGGTTGGTATCAATAGTCATGATGGGTTTAATATGCCTATTAAGGAAGGACCTAACCACATTTAGTAGTCCCAGGGTGCAACATAGGGAGTTAGTCATCTCTATTCCAAATAATTGAGCAATTTAAAAAACTTTGTTCTTCTATAATTAATGGATTTCGAGAAATCAATGTTCGGGATCTACATGCAACAATAAATGTATTGTCGACCTATACAAAAAAACAGTAAGTTATGGCTTAAACTTATTGATCTGAATGTCCTTCTTCAGTGGCAATCCAAATCAAATGAGGCGGCCTATGCTCAATTGATGATTGATAGAGTACTACCATTCCCACCAAAGGAGGGTCACTCGATTAAAGACAAATGTGAGAAAATAGTGATAAATAAGGTTATTCTCCCTAAAGATCCCAAAAAGGCATTTATCTCAATTAAATGAGTCAATAATGACAATCTCTTTCATCTATAAAGAATCTCAGCACTACTAGATATGTATGAAGCCCTCTTAATGTCAAAAGTAACTTTGGGAAAGTAATTCAAGTTCCAAAAACTCAAAGTGGTATGAAGCATATTTTGCAGACAAATATATGATCGAGACATTCATGCCCAAAATTCATTACATTCTATGAGTTCTTATTATCCATCACAATGCTCCCGAAGGTCAAAAAGAGAGAAAAAGGATGATAAAATAGATGTGTATGCATAGAGAAATCATCATTTCCATAGAAAGGCTCAAAGTTGACTTTATGAGATCTATTCCTCCCCCTTTTTCGAAGTGCAACCTCACACTCCATCTATTAAGCGTCACTGATGTTTTCTTTGGTGTAGAAGATAGTGTGGTGATGGGCTGGTCAATTAGATTATTGAAGAATGCATTTGATTAATGGAGATGGGATCTCATGTGGGTGGTTGAATTCAATAAGATAATACTATGTAGTTGGTGTTAACTTATTTATGATTTTATTAAATGTGTTGTAGTTAAGCATAACAATAATATATTCAAGCTTTAAATATAATAATTTTCTATTATTTATTCTTGTTAATGCCATAAATTTAAGTTTACATGAAAAAATTAAAATGCCTAATTTTATTGTATTATCTATTGAAAATAGTTTTAACATATATACAAGAAATAGATTTTAAAATTAGAAGTTGAACAATGATAGATTTATGTCTTGATTTTCACTTTGGTTGAGAAGTTTTCAAGTATCTGCTCCTGAGAAGGAATATTCTTGTCATGACTTGGTTGCTATTAGGGGTGTAAATGAGTCGAGTTGAACTCGTTGCAGGCCTGACTCGAGCTCGACTTGCGAGCCAAATCTTGAGCTTGAACTAAGCTCGTGTAATTTAAAATGAGTTACATTACCATTTTATCCTCAATTGATTAAAAAAAAACTTATAATTTCATTATTCCCAATTTTATTAAGATCCATAGGCTTATATCTGAATTATCATTAAGCAAGGGCAAGCTGCAAAGTTGTTTCAATGGCCAAGTTTTGTGCTCATCTTTTACGGACACTAAAATCATAACTTAATATCATCCATCTCCAACAAAAATTCTGCTTTAATTATTTTCCTTAATATCCTTTTTTTATCGTTTTTACAGATTTCTGGTGCTTTCATCTGGTATTATATATGTATACTATGCTCAAATTCTGAAGATTGACGAGGAGGAATTTGGAGGCCATGGGGCGTTGCTTCAGGAAGGGCTATTTGCTTCATTCTCTCTTTTCTTGGTAACTATCTATATCCACTTGTTCTCATCCCGCTGTTCTTCTTCCACTTTGGGGACCTCGCTGATGCTGCTTAAAAGATTCACTTGTGATTATACTGAAATTTGGAAAAATTCTGATTAGGATAAACATTTTAGTTATTAGATTTATTTTATGATGGATTCATCTTAAGAGAAATTTAATGTTAAAAAACTTTATTCATATCAACTTTATTGCACTGAGATATAATAAATCTTGTTAAACTGCAGCTTGCCTGGATAGTAGTATACAGCTTGGCACATTTTTAGGAGCGTCTATCTCCATCGAAGTCTTCGAAGACTATCTGCGGTTGCCCTTTGTATTCTCGCAGTTTTATCCTGCTTGAAGTAGCAGATTGGGCCGGCTCCACAATTCTCTTCCTTTCTTTGCATCTTTATTGTTTGTTTTTTTTTTCCTTTAGATCTTCAATTTGGACGGTAGAGGCAATACTGTCAACTTTTTGAAACAGATTTGTGCTTGGCATTCTCATTGTACCGTCCAAAAACTCTAAAGCTTTATTTTGTAATAACCAACTTTTTTTTTTTTCTTTAATTCCTTCTTCAAATCATGAGATTTGAGTAAATGAAGACTGCACGATACTCTGCATCTCCTATTTTGATTGATGAGCAGAGCAATTCTTTGTAGTACTTATGGGCTTGTGTTGGATCATTTCAAGATTATGATGGCTTTGTTATTAGATGTTTATTGCATGCCTCTTCTTTTTTTCCTTGAACATGCAGGGTTTTGATAATATAATTGGACAATTTATCATTATTTGAGTGATAAGCCTACATTTTTTGGATATATCTTTTGGTTCGTAATAAAATTTTGGTAAATCAAGAAAAGAAAAATCATTTGAATCTGAATAGATGGAGCAATTAATAGTGTGAACTAAAGTCTAAAGGTATGTTCATAATGATTTTTAATAAATTAAAAGAAACGAGTTTGTTTTAAAAAGAGAGTTATTTGTATATGGTGATATGCAGGTCAATTGAAGAGAATGAGTTTCGCATTAAAAAGGAGCCTTGTCAATCTAGAGAGATTATTCTGTGCGGAGATTGGATGCAAAATGTCGTCCAGTGATCAATTAAAATATGTCACATCAACAGTACCAAGTCGAGCAAGGGGTAACGTGGAGCATTTTGATTAGTCTCCGGATGATATTTGACATCCACAATCGTCAAATATGAAGGTGTCAGAAAAGATGGAACTCATTACTTTTCCGAAAGTAAGAACAGCTAAAACAAACGACTGTCATTTATAAAAAAAAAAAGACAAATTATCGCAAAATCCATTGAGAATGGCACTATGATCATATAACAAAATGTGAATTTTCAGTCATCTTTAATTCTCTTCAGTAGTTTGCTAGCCCACTGCCTTAGCCGCCGCCTCAGCGTAAAACCAATAAAAACTCCAACTGTAAAACTAACGGCACACAACTTAGAGCATGTCCACAGCGATACTGCATTCCTACAAAATATGCATCCGGTTCACACTGTTAAGAGCAATTCAAACTCTTAATAACTATACTGTATAACTATGATTTTATTTGGAACAATTTTTTTTTGTTACTTCTTAAAACAGTTTTTTAGTTCAATAATTAAATTTTTTATTTTAAAAAACTGCTTTAAGAAGTAACAAGAAAGGTGATTCAAATGAAGCCTATGTGTACAATGTTAAGTTGAAAAATGAATTATTCTTTAGGTTTCCCAATTCCACTTTCCCAGGAACACCAAACTTTCACTTTTGCGCTAAAGAAAAATTGGTTGGATCCTTAACCATACATTCAAAGTAGTAGAATATATAATATGCTACTATTTCTAGAAAGTAAGACTTCATAGATGACTGATCCTTCTCAAATTAAAATTTGAATTTTTTTATTTTTATTTTTATTTTTTGAAAATTGTTGGCACAACAACTATTAAATTTGCTAAATGCTAATAAATTATTTGGCTTTTTGTTTCAAGATTTAAGAACTGTGTGAGAGAGAGAAATCATCAAGTAAGTTAAAATCATGTATTTAACAAATAAAAGAGTTGAAATAAATTTCACAAAACAGTAGAATTTAAAATCCCTAAAATTCTATTTGACAATATTTAAGCTAAATCTTGGTTAATTCCTGACTAAAATAGGATATCAAACAAGCTACAAGTAGGATTTAGTAAATCATGTAAGCCAAGATTTAGTAAATCCTGAGAAGATTAAACTCAATAAACTATTTCGCATGAAATTTTGTAAATTTTGCTTAAGATTGATAAATTGTTTGGTAATTTATTTCAGGTTTTTCCTCTGACATTTATCTTCTAGATGTGAAATAGTAAAGACATTATTCATTTATGATTAAGATATACGGGTGCTTCAGAAACAGCTATATGAGTAAATAATTAATTTTCCCTCAAAAACAATGGAATGAAGTACAAATCAGAATATCACACGTTTAAAAAGAAAGAACATGATCTAGTTAAATGAATGCTCAAGTGATATCTTCTATGATAATAGCTAACTTTATTTTTTAATAATAAAATGAATAAGAAAGGCTACCAAAACGAAAGCATCTCCTAATTACCGTTACATTTTATTCGATGCAGCAAGTTAGAACAAATGTTAATAGGAGGAATACAGCAAACCCTTTTCAACAGAAATTTGTCATTTCGAATTCTAATTTACCTCCCTGAATTACAAAAAACGGTCAAGATAATTCAGTCAAGCATCTTCATTTGAAGCCTTTTGAGTCTAATTCTATTAGCAAATCTCCATGTTTCAGGTTAAAGAACTCTAACAGAAATTGACACAACTAAGCGTGATTATAACAATTGAAGCCCCACAATCTCTACAAAATTTCCAAGAAGAAAAATCACATGGAGCAAAATAAGGGGGTATTTACATATATACCACAAAATTCTAATGCTAAACTTTAATAGTTACTTATAAAACACTTAGTTATCATATCTAGGGGCTGTTTGGATGCAGAATTTAGGTTGGATTTGAGGCCGTTTTGAGCTAAATACAACCAAACGGCCAAAAATGCAAAATCAAATCTCACGGTAAATCAAAGCCGTGGTTGACGGAAAACTACCCCTTTTGGTGGTAAATCCCGAATTTACGAAATCCTTCAATTTGGTGGATTTAACGCTTTATTGGCACGAGAGGGAAGAAGAGTCCGCACGATTCCAACTTTTCGCCTTATCTCCTCACTCTTGCCACTTCAGAACAGCTCAGAAGCCATGGTCTCCCATGCTCCATTGTTGCGGATCCTCGCTATAATAAGGCACACTGACGCTCCCCATTCCACAACTGCTTCTCGCAATCACTCGATCAATCGCCCTAGGAAATCTAGCGTGCAGAAGATCGTCTTCTAGTATGATCTCTCCCTCTCGCTTATTTGGTTTATTTGCCATAATATGTTGGTTTCTAGTTTGTTTTTTACCGCATATACCTTTGTTCGATTTTATGTCCGATACTTCCTTGGCACCGTTTCTAACAGCTGAACGTATATAATTTTCTGCACTTCCATAAACCTATTATATTTCTGCATTGTGCTGTTACTGTTGCTAGAGTGGCGTTATATTTCAACATTGTGCTATTAGTAGACTATTTCAATCTATTATACCTAATGTCATCCTTGCCATATTAAGATAGTAGGTTGGGGAGTGCTTTTAGTCAATTATAGTACTAAAACTATGTTAGCCCAAGTCGAAAAGTCTATAGTCTTTTTTTTTTTTTTTTAATAAAGGTTTTGATATTCAAAGTTTTTGTACACAACGGCATTAGTAAAATGAGAAATCCTCTTTGTAATTCAATGAAGTACAACTAAACTCAGTGGTCTGATTTAATTTGATAAGTTTTTAAAGCTTCTTATGAGAGCAAGTGGGTAGTGCTATTGCACTCAAATTGAGAAGCTTCTGTTCATACGTAGCTTATGAGGTCAAATTGAGTAGTTTTAAAAGCTTCTTATGAGGTCATATCTCTTTACAATTGAATTGCCAAACAGTTACACATATTTATCATGATTTATATTGAATGTTACCAACAGTTTTCAGGATTTAACACCCCTAGTATTTCATAAATCCGGATTCAGAGCATTAACGAAATCCAACTTAAATTAAATCCCGGGTGCATCCAAACAGCCTCCTAAAGACAAAAAAAATGAGCAGAAAATAATGTTAAAATTTGACGATTTGCGAATGCACCTGGACCCCGAGCGTATTAATACACGGGTTTGATCCGAAGGAATCTGGTAAGAGCTGGATGACAAGTTATCCAGTATTGATGCTTGCGGCGGCGAGCGAGGTCCAACCTTGAATCTCTCCATGAACGCCGTCAAAATCGACAGATAAAAACAGAGAGGAGCAGGGGACGGAGTCGAGGAGAGTAGAAGACTAGGGTTTACTGGGTTTCCCGTTTCTGGGAGACGATCTAGCTAATAATATTAAACACGGAATACGATTTTGAGATAAGGAGTTCCGCGAGTCACTGCATCCAGTGATCGAGAGCGGTGATTTCTCTTCATGCCCTGTAGCATTTCAAATTATGTTATGGTCGTTATATAATGTGACCGAACATTAAAAATAATGAAAAAAAAAAAAGTAAGGCTGCCTACGTTTGATATGTAAGATTTTATCGGGAACAATTTTATTACTGTTTCTTTAAATATATTTTTAATGGAAAGATAAAATTTTTGGTGCTAAAAAGATGCTTCGAAATGAAAACCTAAGATTTCGCTTGGGAGTTGGGACTGCTTGAAATTATTATTTAAGAAATTTTTATGCTAAAAAATAAATTTATAAAATAGAAAAAAAACTATCACAAATGAAATCTTAAAATAACTTTCTTATTATTTTCTTAATCATTTTTTAAGTACAAAATTTTATACTAAAAAAATACTTACTAAAATAACTTTTTAATACAAAATTTTTTAATTCAAAGAATTTTATAACTAAAAAGCTGCTTTCTAAAATAAATTTTTAGTATAAAAATTTTTTAATTCAAAAAAAAATTATACTAAAAAACTAATTTAAAAACAACAACAAAAAAATTGTCCCACACAAAGCCTAAATATTTACCTTGATTTTATTTTGGTGGCTATCATTTTATAAAATCTCCAAGCTTAACATTATTTTTTGACTGTGATCTAATATAAGAATTACACACGAATTTAACTTTACTAATTTATTTTATAATCTATCTAATCATTAAGAAAAACATGCGATGAATACAATAGTAATCAAATGATATGAAAGATCTTTCGATTACAATTTTAATAATACATTTCAACAAATAAAATTATCTATTACATACAAAATATCATCAATTATCCATAATTTCAAATGATAAGCACAATTATCTTGTTATTATCCATTTTGATAGTTTTGACATATATTAGGATCAATTAAAACAAATCACATATGCAAGACTCAATCTAAAATCTCTCTTAATTGACAGTCAAAACTACCAACCAAAAGAACAAAATAATCTGCTTGGAATGTTGAAAGCGATGAAGAGATCAAAATTCGAACACAACCCACTTGGTTGAGTAATCATCAAAAACAAAACAAATTAAGAAAAAAAAAATAATCTCTTTCAAAATTTCAGGCAGGATTACAAATAATTTAAGGCTTTAGTACATGTAATCAAAATTGCTTGTACATAATAAGTGCCTGGAGTATACAATACTCATCAATCTAGCAGTATCTTGGTCGGTCGCCAACTCCAAAATCTATCAAAATAAATATAAAAAGAGCAACCACTCCAAATACTACCTAAACCATCTGCTTCTACACTTACTGAAAGACTTTTGGATGGCCTATTTACAAATAAAAACAAACGCAAAATTTAGAGTTACAATCACATTTAAATAGCAGAGAGTTGTCTCCTTTTGGATGGCCTTCCTTTGCCCAGAGCCTTCTTTCTTTTCTTCGCCTGCTTCTGTAGCGATTTTGAAACCAAAGATGGTTGCTCTTTTAGTCCAAAGCTCCTTGCCACATGTCCCAAGTGAAGCTTTTTCAACATGAAAATCTTCTTCAGCTCACCTCTATGGGCTGTGTATGCTCGAACCCAAGAGCAGAAAGCATTCTTGGCGAGTTTCTTCATTTTGGGCTGAACCAAACGAAATATATAAGCCAACTTTTGAATTCATTTGGAAGAAAGTTACAAAGAAGAATATGTAATGCAAGATTCTCCAATAAAATGATTATGATCTTTGTCATCCAATGCCGAAATTCAAATTCATGGTGGAAACACAAATGGATGATGACTATTTGATATATATAATAGCTAACAGTGATGATATGGACTGTCAAAATAGGAGAAACATAGAGGATTAAAAAAAAGGTAAATTTACATACATACCACTTTATACCATCTTATTTACATATCTAACACCTAAAATTTTAATATTACATACATACCACCCTATATTATTTTAATATCAAATATATCACTCATATTTCTTTCCTATCAGTCATATATTTCATTTCTACCACTCATATTTGATTTGAAAAATGAACTATGAGTGATATGTATGTAATGTTAAAGTTTTAGGTATTAAATATGTAAATAAAATAGTATATGGTGGTATATATATAAATCTCCTCCCAAAAAAAAGAAAAAATTACATACATACTATTTTATACCATCCTATATACATATCTGAGGTTCATTTCACAGGAGAAAGCAATACCTCGGCTAAAACAAAACTTTCCAGTGCCTTCTGAAGCAATATTACCAAGGGATGTGTATCTAAGGATAGAAACTTCTGGTGATGTTGCTTCTGTCCATAAAAAAGAAATCTTTCAAGAAACTTTTGGAGGGGGTATTCAGTTAAAGAGACACCATGCATCTTCAAATCGTGTAAGTAATCAATTTCAGCAGGCTGAAGAAATAGCAAGGCCTCTCCTTCTTTACCCAACCTTGCGGTTCTTCCAACCCTAATAAATGATGACAACAAAGCAGCATTAATCATCCACAGAACCCAACGAAAATATGGCAATGAAAAAGAATTATAAGCATATGATTATACGGTTAAAGTTTTTTTTACAAAGCTATCTAAATGCTTATATTTTATACAACTACAGATTTCTTCACTTGCACTTGCTTATACCAGCACTTGTTCTAGTTCTTATATTTATACTTATTAACATTGCAATTACAAGTGCAAACTACTTCCTTTACTAGAAATAAAAACAAAATTATAAAATCTTTTATGCATGCTCTCTAATATCCAATGCACACATTCATCTCCACATGTGTGGATCCTTGAAAACCATCTTCACCTGGAACTAGTTTGTTAGGAAACTCTTGTAAAAAAACCAAGAACCCCTTGGCTGAAATTTAATTTCAGCCAAGTAAAAATAGTAATTGAGAAGGAGATGGAAAAAACTAGGAGAAAAGCTTTTCAATTGACGCTATAGGGAAGAAATAAATAAGATACAATGGATCATCAATTAAAGAGGAGGATCTGACTCTTCCAATTTCAAGTCAGCGGCTAGAGCCCAAAAAAATTCCTAAGAACTCTCCAAATTTCAACCAAGATACAAATAACAGAACCCTAAGTTTACAAACCTCCTTAAAGCATAAAAAAACAGCAAAATATTCAAAATAGCCCTCCTAGCCCTCCTAGTTTGAATTTCCCTCCTAATCCCCTTTTAATTACTACATTAACTCGTGGACCCCACCCCCAAAGGGGGGCGAACTGCTGTGGAGGCGGAATGTTTCCGCCTAGAATAGCAGAGAGCCGGTCCGGCCCCCTATACCGGTCTAACATAGTACTAGTAGACCGGGATTTGTTGTATATCAAAACCTAAAAGTGGATATATTTGTTGCAGATGTGTTCTTCATGGAGGACCAATACACACATTGGTGAAGCTTTAGTGATGAGGACATCGGAGATCAACGGCTACGATCTTGAGTCTATTTATTTATGTGTTTTATTTTATTTTGTTGTTTTTCCTTTTTACCCTTATGGGTGGTCATGTAGTGTTGTAACCCGAAGGGCATTTTAGTCTTTTATTTCTTTTCTCTTCATGTGGCCTACCCGCCGACTGCCTTGGCCTACCCAATCGCCGGCCACCCCTCCCAAAACCACTATCTCCACCACGGCCCGTCCCCATCTCCACCCCCATGCCGCCGGCCACCTCTCCCTCTCCCATGGAATTTGAAATTCTAAGCCCATAAATACTTTCCTAAAATAATCCTCCCAATTAGGAAGGTTTATTACTTTGAATTCAATCCAATATTTGAATTCAAATAATTCCCTCCCTAATAAATTTCAATTAGGAAACTTCCTCATTTAATGAAATCTGAATTAAAATTTCAGATTTGATTAAAACCTTCAGTAATTTCCGTGGCCCCACATACTAAGCAATTAACTCCCCCTCCCCTCTCCCTACATGGCCGGCCACTTAATCTTTCCCCCTCTCTCTCCAATTTTCATTAATTGCTCTCCATTAAGACTCTCTAATTACCTCCCATAATTCCTCACCTCCCATTAATCCTTTGATTTGAATTTGAATTCAAATTCAAATCCTTCCCTCCAATTTTATTAAATCTGAGAATTAATTTCAGATTTTGTTTGACTTTTCTCTCTCCCAAGTTAATCTCATTAATTCCCCTTCCAATTCTCAGCCTTAGCTGCCTCCTCCCAAACTCTTCTCATGTTTTCCTCCCTTCCCGTGAGATTTCTGCTGGCTGTCCCCATATTCCAGCCATATTGGGTTACTGTTATTCACTGCTGAAGGCCAGAGATTGCTGTCCAAAGGCTCCCAACACCCTATCAAAGCTGTCCAAATTTCTGTCGAACATAGGGAGCTGCCGTCCAGATTTTCTGGTCATTGTTTGGAGGCTTTCCAAACTATTCCTTCTTGTCCCCTTGCTGTCCAGCAGAATTCCGAAGCCTGAGTTGCTGTCCAGCTGACCAAAGATCTCTGCTTGCGGTCCAAAGAACCAGCCCAGTTTGCTGTCTAGATTCTTGGACAGGCGCCATGTCTCATCCTGAGTATTGGAGCTTTGAAAGCTGCTATCCAGAAGCCTACAAGTTGCTGTCCAGAACTTTCAAGACCCAAAACCTGCTGTCCAAACTTCCGTGGGTGCTGTCCAGAGATTTTGGCTTGCAATCCAGAACATTTCAGCAAAGTATTAGGTTGTCCAGTGCACCAGAGAAGAGTCGGCTGCTATCCAACAGCAATTAAGAGGTCTTTCTTGTCTTCCCATTAGGTAAACTCTCCCTCCAAATCTCTTATTTTCCTAGTCCACTTCTCTCTTATGGTTATTTTGGATCCATGAAGATCATGTTAATTATTCTCCGCTAAAAATACTTAGTAAGCTAGAGAGTGAAGTGATGGATCTTTGCATTGTGGCTAATCTTATTGTTAATCTAGGGATCTCTTGTTAAAAATCATCCATGTATGCAACATCAGATTAACGTGATTGTTTTATGATCTTAGCTTTTACGCGCGTGATTCGGCCTAAGCTTATTTTACCGCTCATAGTGCTTTCTTTTGTCGTTAGAGCATTCATTGTGAAGATATGATTATTATGGCTTCTAACATTAAGCGTGCAAACTCCCTAAGTTAATCATCCTTGCAAGTACGTTTCACATCATTTAGAGTACATATATTTCAGATTGGAGCAACGCGTTTTAGCTACACGAATGAACTATTGTATTAGTGTCTTCATACCTGTGCACGTATTCAGAAGCCTCACCAGGAGAGTCATACTGGATTATACATGTAACCTTGGGAAAATCAAGACCCCTTGCAGCTATATCTGTGCATAGAAGTATTGCCGATTTTTCACTTTTAAAACCTTGAAATGCAGTCCTTCGATCTTCATGCGCCATGTTTCCATGTAACCTGAATGTACTGCAAGTGAGGAACATTTGCCTCTGATCCATATCTTGATGTGGGTTGGAAGACCACTTGAACTCTTTCAAAAGAAAGAAATGGAAATCCACAGCATCACATGTAGAAAGGAAGACTACAATCTGCATAGTAAACCTGTAAGAACTTGATTGCCGGAATCAGAAAAAGAAAATTCTGACAAGTTGGCCGAATAGCGTCAAGAAAATTTTAGACAACAGAATGAAATCAGTATATCAGTAATAACAACTTTATCAGGAAGAGTAACAAAAATAATAATTGGATTACAACATGTTATTTCAAATGCTAAATTTCAGCAATATGTTATCTTCCACGTCAGTGAACTACAGATAGTGAAAAGAGACACGAGGTTCCGGAAAGGAAAAATAGCCATATCCTTGGGTTGCTTGATCACTCAATACTCTCGACAACTGATGTTCAAAAATATTTTTGATGTTACCCTCACTACTATCTATTTAATCAATTGTAATCCTCAATTTTAAACTCCTGTCCAGAAAATTATTACAAATATATCCTCAAACTTGTTTCTATAATTCCTAGGAAAATTTTACAATGTTTTGCATTTACTCATATTTTTTTTGGGGGATATTTAAGCCAATGAAGGTAAATTCATACGCACATTACATATGCAAGACTCGAAACCAAGAACTCTTAGTTGATAGCCAAAGCTCCTAACCAACAGATCAAGATGAGCTGTGTGCATTATTCATATTCACTCTCACAATCATGAAAATTTTGATGTTAGAGCCATCAAGTGTATTTTTTTAGATAATTTCTAAATCATAAATAGTACAAATGCTTCTCCCACAAACTAAAATATTATAATTATGTGGATGTTATTTTCTTCCAAACTTAATATTTTTATTCCAAAACTATCATTCAAGGGGAGAATAAAAATATAGATGAATGCAGATCATAAGATCTGGGGACACTCCTACAACTATGACTTTGTGTCTTGGGTGTGAAGAACCCAATTTTCAAAATGAATCATTACTTGAGCTTGAACTTAATCTACTCATAAAGAGTTCAAGGTTTATACTAGAAGAAATACTATTAAGCGGGAAAACATTTGGCTCACATCAAGCCTAATCAAAACTCATATCTAGATCAAACTACTGAAAGTAACACTGTTTTAAAATATGCTCAGTGATAACTTGAGGATGACCAAAATTGGCCCATTGCTCCTAGAAAAGAGTGGATCATGCAAGATCATGCACTCAGCATTCTCTTCACAATTCTCTCTTTTTTAGGGGGCTCTCACTAAGCATTAAGTATTAATTACCAATCCCGATACCATCCAGATTCCCACCAACATCCAAGAGTACTAAAGATTCTTGAATAAAATGTAGTAATGGGGGGAATTCGTGTCCCAGAAAAAATTATCTGGAGAAATTGCTAACTTGTCGACAGAAAGGAACTTAGATAAGTGTAGTAAATTTATAGCAAGCACAAGGAAAACGGAAGCATCACAAAATATAAGGTATGGCTGGTTGCAAAGGGCTTCATTAAGCATTATAGCGTTGACTACTATGAGATTTCTACACACGTGGCAAAACTCAATACAAGCAACGTTTGTTTACTATTGGCTGCAAGTCTGTAATGGCCCTTTTTCAATAAAATAATCGAGACAGGGACGAAGGCCGACACTACAGAGTGATAGCGAAGCCAAGCCGTCAAAAGGAGAGCAGTAAGATAAGGTACTTAGCAACAAGGCATTTCTGCTCAAGCCCTGAAAAAGCGTATAAAAATGCTTAGCGTCTATTTTTTTAAAGTTGAACATGAGGCCATCCCCTACATTTAAGAATCCAATAACCAATAATTAAACATACAAATTAATGAGATCTCTTTATGAACTCAAACAATTTTCAAGAATTTGATTCAAGAGATTCACAAAAATAACATCCATAGCTACTACCAGCGTCAAGCTAACCACACTCACATTTTGTTGAAAAATCAAATGAAGGCAATGTAACTATCTCAATTTTTTATGTTTGTCGCTAAAATTTTTGGAAAAAAAAATAAAGCATTGACATTTTCTTGCCAAAAAATTTGAAATCATAGATCAAGTAAACCATTGATATTTTCTAGGAATGGAGATCGCCAGATAAAAAGGGAAATCTGTATCTTTCAAAGAAAAAACGTTTAGAGAATGTGGAATGTTGGGTTGCAAACTAACCGACACACAAAGGAAATCTACATCAAAACTTGGCAAAGATGAAGCTAACTGAAAAAAAAAAAAGAACGTGCTGGAAAACTTATAAATCTTTCACGTACTATGTTGAAATAATGAGCTTACAAAGAGAGACAACAAGCACACATTGAGTTAAAGAAGTTATAAGAAAACATTACATAAATGAAAGCCCAGTATGATTTTGAAGAATAATTGATAATTTTTTTATCTTAATCATCTTAACATCATCTAAGAAGATTATTATATTTGATCTCGCATGAAGACTAGATCTTTCAACGCCTTTTAAAAAGAAAACCATACCGGTTTGATAGCATTCTACAATATTATTCCCGTATCATTTTTTTTTTTTTCATTGTTTAAATATAATAATCCCGTGTCAACTTGATATCATAATATGGTAGTATTTCAATGTCAGGTTGATTCTAAATCAAACAACGCAAATGAGTAATTATGCCGACAAGGATGACTAGTACAATACAACATAATGCAGTACTAATTAGATATATCAAAGATAGCTTAATTAACCTATAAAAATTTTATGCAATTTCAAAGGAGAAAACTTGGAATCTGAGTGGGAAATTTGATGAGTTGTGTGGCAGTTAAAATTCTGCAATATCAGACTATGCCAAGAGTTCTTTGTTTCATTCCAACTTCTGGGCCAAAGATCTACCCCCTCATGAGACAAAACATTTTGCCTTAATGGCATCCTAAACTTCAAATGAGGCTGTACCTAACTGATGACCACCAAGAAAATTGTTCCTTCCAAGAATTTTCTCACGATTAGGGAAACATGTGCAAGTACAAACATGGTTTTAGACTTTTAGTTGGTGATTGCATATGCATTATGCAATATGAGGAAATAATTTCGAACCTGTAATAAAAACAAAACTTAAATCTAACAAGACAATCAAACGGAGCATCAATTTTGGCATATTTTTAGTATATGACGGGTCTTTATAATAGAAAATTGGGGGATTTACATACATACCACTTTATATCATGTTATTTACATATTTAACATTCAAAACTTTAATATTTCATACATAGAACCCAAAAATAACTTTAATATCAAATATGGCACTCCTATACTGCATTCCTACCACCCTATAAACTTTAATGTTTCATTCATTACACCCATATTTGATCTAGGGGTGGTAGGCATGAAATATTAATATTTTGAGTTTTAGATTTGTAAATAGCATGATATAAAGTGATATGATGTAAATCCCACAAGAAAAATCCAATACTAGCAAGAAATTTAAAACATCATAAAAGATCAATAGTCCTTTCATTTAGCAATAAAGATGAAAATATGAAGGGTATCTATAAAAGAAAATTCTAATACTACCAAGAAGTTTAAAACAACATAAAAGACGAATTGTCCTTTCATTTAGCAATAAAAAGACTAGGGAGTATACTAATCCAATGTTACTGCAACAGTGCATTTACAAAATTTGAAGGTCCAGAAAATGCCATTATCTCCTTATTCACCGCCATTATACAAAAGAATGCATATCTAGTAAAACCAAAAGAGAGAACAGCGCTACACATAAATTTACCTTCTGGGAACCAGTTTTTTCAAACAAACTCTTAAGAATGGAAAGAAGCAACACCATCCTCGAACCACAGGACACTGCATAGGAGAGAACATATGTTATCTTCATAAGACTTAAGCAAAAAATATACGTAAATCTAACAGAGATTTCAATATGTAAAAGTGCTCATAATCCAAGCGCCACCTTTTACATATCTCTGAATTAATTGGACAGGAAGGTTGTAGTTTTCTGCTGCTTGGCTTCGTAAAGGGCTATGATGTTCTAAGTTACCATCGCTGTCAGAATCTAAAGATAATAGTCGTTTCACAGTATTATTTGTTGTCATGAATGAAGTTTTGTTGTCATCCAGACCAATCATTACAGGATTTAGTAAGCTGATGTTAGCCAAATGATTGACCTTTTCATTCAAGGTTGCTGAGAGAAGTAAATTCTGTCTTGAACTTTCGTTAGGCTTGATCCTCTTATTCTCTTGGCCAGTAGCAATATTTTGTCTAGAACCCAAAAAATCAAGAATTTCTTCTATTGCTTTACCATATCCCAGTTCGAGAATCCTGATCATGAATAGGCAAATGATAGGCACATCGTCCATGTACACCAAACATAAGATAAACGTAGATATTCCATGCAATATGCAACATTAATGCTAACGAACATGAAAAATTAATGCGACCATCCTAAAATATAGTTCAAATAGAAACATAACATAAAAAACAAGTCAAACCTGTCTGCTTCATCATACACGATCCACCGTAGGTTTGTGTATATGAATGATGAGGTATGCTTTAGATGATCCAACAAGCGTCCAGGAGTTGCTATAAGTATAGATATTCCTAAGACAAATCATGCAAACAAAACAGTGCTATTATAAGACTGCAAGTATCTGTTTTGCAACGAGAATGATATTTTACAAGTAATGGCATACTTGTCATGACATATAAACTATCACGTAAGTTAACTATTGAGAAATCAATCTGGAGATTTTGGTCAGGCAAAAAAAAAATGGAAAGCAAAAATGAAAGGCTTGCTGCTGCTGGGTTTAGAAAATAAGGAGAAAAAAAAACAAAATTGGCAAATTGTGGGCGAAATAAAAAATTGGAAGGCTAGTCGTTTATGTGAAATGGAATTTAAAAATCAAATCATAACATTTGCCACATGGTCGAAACATCAAGATTTGATTACAGCCATGTATATTTCTGATTTAATTGACAATGTAAATAAGAAAATAAAGTTGGAATGGTGCAATCCAATGGTGTCTTCTATAAGAAGAACTCGTGTCCAGCCTTGGAATAGTGAGAAAATAATAAGAATTCCTCTCTCTTTACATGGAATAAGAGCTAGCCAACTCTGCTCCAACTCAATCCACCCATTCTTTGCCATGTCAGAAGTATCACTTCCATCCTTCCAACTGCCTGCTATCAACTCCCCAAAATTGATGTGCATCCCACTCACCATGTGTCGCACTCCATTCAAATTACCATTAATAGACTAAATGATGCTAAATTCCATCACTGGTCCCAACTCGTTAGTATGTATACATGGTGTATGGGCAGATAGTCCACCCGACTGGCGATAAGAAAGCTCCTGCCAAGAAGAATACAGCGAATGCTGCAAGGGATGTTAGGAATTATGTGATCATGATAGTTTGTTAATTCTGGCAAGAATAGAAGGGGAAGGGGGCTCAAAAGGAATTAATTTTAACTTTAATTACTTACCATAAAAATCAAAATGGGAAGAGAATTAGGAAGGTTTGTTTGGAAAAAATGGGCTGATTTGAATTCAGATTTTGGAGAGAATTAGGAAAGTTTATTTAGGGAAGCGGGCTGATTTGAATTCAAATTTGAGAGGGAATTATAAAGGTTTATTTAGGGAAAGAGGGCTGATTTGAATTCAGATTTGGGAGGGAATTAGAAAGGTATACTTAGAATTAATTAGATTGTTTTATTTTCATTATAGAATTTGTGTTTTACTATAGCTTTCTTTGGAGTGTTCTTAGCGGCGCCTAGAGTTTGTGGAGAGTCGATCTAACTCTCGAATAATAGATCAACTTGTATATTGGTTTGTTGTGCCGATATTAAAAGACATTAGCCCATAATTTCATTCTTTCTTGTTGATTTCAAACGTGTTCTCTCTTCATTATTATTCTTTTTGGTTGTATGGAGATAGGATTCCTATCAATTTGGTACCATAGCACCTTTTTTGGGATCAATGACGGCTAAGAAGATTGATGCATTGGAGGAGAGGTTTGATGGGGAAGTTGAAAATCTAAGATCTAATTTGGAGAGCAAATTTCAACAATTGAGGCCAGATTTTCGAATCTGGTAGAGATGATGAAAAGGAAGTGGAGGAAACCCTAATATAAGGATAATGAGAGAGGATCAAGAGGTGAAAATTTTGGAGGAAGAAGATGAGATGCCACCTTTGGAGCCTCTTCCAAAGAGGGGAACATGTGAATGGTATAGTCAATGAAGAAATTGGGATAATAGAGATCCGAGAGCTGATTTAGGGGTGAGGGAAAAATGGAGGGATCACAACACCCGCTACAATGGGGAAGAAGCCATTGGAGCGATGGCGATCATAGGGTGAAAAAGTTAAAGATGCTGATTTTTTAGGAAGAAGATGCTCAATGGTGGATTTATAGGGTAGAGCAATATTTTACTATAAATGGGTTTACAGAAGATAAAAAACTCACCGCAACTGCTCTATGTTTAGAAGGGAATGTTCTCTCCTGGTACCAGTGTAGAGACTTGCAAGATCTGATCTGATCATGGGGCGAGTTCAAAGACTGTCTACTAGAACATTTTCGAACAAGTCGGGAAAGAGACTTCTATGAACAGTTCTTCGCTCTGGTGAAGGAGGGGATGGTGATAGATTACTGGGAGAAGTTCCAAGTACTTAAGCAATTGGGAAGGTTGTCAGATACTATGCTAGAGGAGAAGTTTATGAAGGGGCACAAGCTTAATATTCGAGCGGTTGTTTGAGTACTGAGACCATGTGGCTTAGGATAGGTTATAGAGTTAGCCCAGCTAATGGAGGATAAGAACTCCTTAGAGAGGAGTAGTCGTAGAAGCAATTCGGGAGTCAACTATTGCACGACCACTATATTTATAACACCAAAGGTGTAGACGGTGCCTATTTAGAAGGAAGCCTCGAGGGATAGAGGTCAGGGAGCACAACCATAGGGGAACTTCAAGAGCTTAACTAAGTCAGAAATTCAGGAGAAGAGGGCCAAGGGTTTATCTTTAGGTGTGATGAGAAGTTCCCTCTAGGCTACCGTTGTAAGGACCATTCGTTACAGGTCCTGACAGTCAACGATGAGGAGGAAGATGATCACCTACTGATGTGAAACATATCCATGCGAAAGTGATTTGCTTAAAGAAGTTTGCACGTTTAGATTTAGAGGCAATAATAAGCAAAATCTTATGCGGAATTGAACGATAAGATAAACATTAGTGGTGCCTAGTTTAGGTTAACTCACATGCATAGAAGTTAAGTTCAAAAGATAGTTAGCTTAATCCAACATTGCATACATGGATAGTTCCAACAATAGATTTCAATACTAACAATAAGATTAGTCTATGAAAGATCCTTCACCCAACTCTTCTTATTACTAGGCTTTTAGCGGAGAAGCATTAACATGATCGTCATGAATTTACTAGACCACAATTGAGAAGCACTTTGAAGATAAAGAGTCGGGGAAAGAGTTTACCCAAAGACGAGAGATTGCGAAGCTCCCCGTTTGATCACCAAGGCACTGGATGAAGAGCAACTAGCAATGTCAAGGCTTGGACACATTTAGGAAGGTGATCATTGACTCCTTGGACAGGATGGCAGCAAAAGATGGCCACCAAAATGATTGGACAGCAACTGGAGATGTGTAGGCTGCAGCAATTGATGGTTGAAAACCCCTTTTTGGCCTTTAAAATACTTCTAAAAGCAGTTTGACAGCAACTTAAAGCAATGGGACAGCAGTTTGTCCCGTCAAAGGAGGCTTAGGCAGCAATACGGGCCTACTAGAGAAGGCATAACACCATTACTATGCTGTTGTAATCCACGGCAGCATCCAGGAATTGCACTCCTCTACAGGTAGGAGGCTTAGGGGGAGAAGAGGCTTGGGAAGTGGCCGGCCATGGCTGCAGAGAAACACAGGAACTCCATCCCAGAACTCTCCGTCAGGGCTGATGGGATCAATTCAAACCCAATAGAAATTAATTGGATTTAATTAAGGAGTTAATTGGGTGAGGGGGAAAGGAGATGAGAGGGAAAATCTGTATTTTAATTTCAAATTTTCATTAAGGGGAATTGTTAATTTGAATTTTAAATTAACACAATTAAGGGAATAAATGGGGCCGGCGGTCATTAAGGGATTTATGAGGGGTTTAATTGTTTCTTAGGTGGCAAAGTGGAGAGAGAAGGGTGAGAGCTTTGTGTAGAAAAACTGAAATAGATTTCAGTTTTAATTGGGATGGGAGGGGGTTTAATTGAAATCAATTTCAGATTTCAAAATTTGGAGGGGGTGCATTTATGGCAATCAATGGGGAGCCCAATGAGGGGGCCGGCGGTATGGAGAGAGAGAGAGGGAGTTAGGGAGAGAGGGAGAGGAGTTTCCAAATATGAATGATGACTAGAAAAATTTTAAATAGATCCAAATTAATTTAATTTATAATTTGAATTCATTCAAAAAAAATTTCAATAATTGGAATTTCCGAATTTGGAAAGAATTTGAATTTTGAAATTCAAATTCCAAGGAAGGCTAGGGAAGGGAGGCGTGGGGGAAGTGGTGGAGAGGGGAGAGGCCGACGGCAAGGTGGCCGGCCGGTAGAGCTAGGGTGGCCGACGAGATGGGGCTCCAAGGGTGGCGACACTAGTGGAGGCTTCGGCTTCTTCCAACTCTTGGACTTTGCTTGTGGTAGTTTATGGGGGAGAAGAAGAACTATGCTTGTAATTACCTAGAGAACTCACAAAGAGATCTCAAACAAAGAACTCACTAAGAGATCTTCAAGAAGGAACTCACAAAGAGAACACTAGAGCAAAAATTTTTATTCAATAATCATCATCCCCTCTCCAAGAGGAGGGAAGAGGCTTAAATAGTCAAATACATGACAAAAAATAAAAAGACATAATTGCCCCTAGGCAAACATAAGACAAAAGCCCTCAAGTGAGGGTAGAAAGGGAAAAGTACTATAACAAATCAAATACATAAAATATTCAAAATAAATAGACGCGATTGTAGCCGTTGATCTTCGAAGTCCTCATCACCTACACTTATATGTTGCAAAGGTATCCCTTACATTAGTAATCGGATTCACGATGAACCACACTATGAAGATTAAGAGGAAGATCATACAGCAGGAGATGGTAGTGCTGGTGGATAGTGGAGCTACCAACAACTTCATTTCCAACAAGATGGTGGATCAGTTGGGACTAAAATTAGTGGACATGGGGGGCTTTGGGGTTATGCTGGGAACATGAAAAGTAGAGAGGAGTAGAGAAATTTGCAAATGGATGATCCTAATCCTTCCAGGGGTTTAGGTATTTGAAGAATTTCTGCCAATGGATTTGGGGAGCACCGATGTGATATTGGGAATGAAGCGGCTACAGAAGTTGGGAAAGACCAAGGTTGATTGGAATGCTAAAACGATGGAGTTCAAGGTTAAGGGGAGGAGAATGGTTATTAGAGGGGATCCTAGCTTATCTAAAATTATGGTTTCACTCAAAAACATGGCTAGGGCTCTAGGAGGACTTCTGCAACCTCTAGTTCTGCTCGAGAAGGTGTGAGAAAGGATAACCATGAATTTTATTGAAGGTCTGCCAAAATTGGAGGGGTTTTCAGTGATTTTGGTAATAGTAGATAGACTGAGCAAGTATGCTCAGTTCATTCCCATGCGACACTCATACACGATGATTTTATTGGCAACAACATTTATTCGAGAGGTGGTCCACCTGCATGGAATTCTGGAGTTTAGTGACATATAGAGAGATAAGGTGTTCCTGAGCTACTTCTGGAGAAAGATATTCAGGATGCAAGGGACCATTTTGAAAAGAAGTGCATCATATCATCCAAAAAATGACGGGAATACCGAGGTGGTAAATAGAGTGTGGAGCCTTATTTGAGATGTTTTGTATCAGAAACACCAAGACCTGGGTGAAGTGGCTACCTTGGGCTGAGTAGTGGTACAATACACCCTACTATAGTGCAGCACAAACTACACCCTTCAAAATCCTTATGGCAGAGACCCTCCTCACCTGGTATACTACGGGACCAAGAGCACTCCAGTTTCATCAGTGGAATAGCAGTTGGAGGAACAAAATAGGATATTGAAAGACTTAAATGCACACCTACTGAGGGCACAACAAATTATGAAGGGATGTGCAGTTCGAGGTGGGTAATATAATGTATTTGAAGATTCGACGCTACAGACAAAAGATCTAATCCCAAAGAAGAAATGAAAAGTTATCTCCAGGGTACTATGGGCCTTATGAGGTCGTGAAGAGGATTGGTGCCGTGAAGTATCGTTTGCAGCTACCCTACTTCTTCCATACACCTAGTGTTTCCATGTGTCCTAATTCAGGAAAGTTATTGGCAACCACAGTCCATTAGTGACATTGTAGATAACCTTGACAGAAGAAATGTGGGTGATCCTAGAGCCAATGGAAATAAGAGGAGTTAACTCGACAAAAAGAGTTAGAGAAGAGCTGATCGAGTGGAATGATCTACCTGACTACGAAGCAACATGAAAAACGTGTCGAATGATTCAGCAACAGTTTCCTTTATTCCAACTTGAGGATAAGGTTTCTCTTTGGGAGGGGACTATTAATGGACCAGCTGAGCCAATCTAGCTAATCAATATGGTCTTGGCAAGGGGAGCCGGTCAAACTGGCAAGCGAAAGAGCCTTGTGGGTCCCACTAGCATGGGCGGCGGGCAAGAACAGAGAGGGGCTCAAAAGGAATTGATTCTACCTTTAACTACTTACTATAGAAAATCAAAATTGTAAGGGAATTAGGAAGGTTTATTTAGGGAAAGATAACTGATTTGAATTCAAATTTGGGAGGGAATTAGGAAGATTTATTTAGAAAAATATGGCTAATCTGAATTCAAATTTGGGAGGGAATTAAGAAGATTTATTTAGGATTAATTAGGATGTTTTATTTTCATTATGGGATTTGTGTTATTATTGGAGTTCTCTTTGGAGTTGTTCCTAATGGCACCAAGGGTTTGTGGATAGTCGATTTACCTCCTGAATAGTAGATCAAATTGTATCTTGATTTGTTATGCCGGTATTAAAAGACATTAGCTCATAATCCTATTCTTTCTCACTGATTTCTATCGTATTTCTCTTCGTTATTGTTGTTTTTTGTTGTGTGGAGAACGGATTCCTATCAATATCTTTTATGCAACTTAAATTTGCAAAGAATATTATTATATCTAAGCATTAAGATTAGTATTTGTAAAGACTAAGCATAATTTATCATTATAATATTTATTTAGAATTAGAAATATTTCCCTTAATTATATTATACTTATTATTTTTTTCTCCTAACTATATATAGGCACATATATGCTTGTACAAAGCAAAGAATTGAGTAAAGATATAGACATTGTCATTTTCAAATCTTTTGCTTCTAAACTTCCAAATTAAGATCTAAACACAAGTCATTTGATTAGAATAAGAGAAACCGCATAACATTTTTTTACATATAGAACTACAATTTTTTCATAAATTCAAGCATTTTCAAGATACAAAATCACATCAAATACTGAATGCCAAAATCACGTAAAAAACTAAAAACTTCTATAGGAAAGATGAAAAAATAGTCATGGTTTTGCATTTTGAATATCATATAAACTAGAATAATTACAAAGTATTAGAGCGTGGTGAAAAGTCAACTAGATAAATATGAGTTGACAGCCCAAAAGAAAAAGGAAGCCGTCACATAAAGCAAGTGAATTGGAAATGCAATAAAATTGGTGCTATAACATACTAAATATTAAACTCAAGATTCATTTAAGAAAAAAGAACGAAAAAACCCAACATAATTGAAATGAAAGGCCAAAGATATTTAATAAATGAATACCAGACCAAACCTTTGCGTAGCCTAGCTTTCTCCTTTGTCCTATTCTCGCCACCCATGATATATCCAGGCACTATCCAAATGAAACAACGCAATAACTTCTGCAAAATTTCATGAACCTGCATGCATAATTCTCGTGTAGGCACAAGCACCAACACTGAACCCACTTATAAGCTCAAATATACCAAAAAGAAGGCAAACACAAATCACATGCGCGTGAATTCTTAGAATTAGGCAGCAATAAAAATAATAAAAAATAGGAATTTATAAATTTAACCCCCAAGTTGTCGGAAAAAAGCTAAGGATGATGATGATGAGACGACAACACAAAAAAGAAGTAAAATCAGCATGATAAATAAAAGCTTTTTTAATTTTGGTAACCAAACAAGAAAAGGCTTAATTAAAATAACATTATAGATACAAAACAGATGTCACAAAACAACTGCCATATGATCTGGTTGAATCTTACATGTGATTAAAAACACTTAAAATGCACATGATATCAAGATAGTTAACTAGAAATAACATTTAAAACAAGTGAACTATCCTTAAATATATATTTGAATATTGGGCCTAAAATATTAGGGGAAAAAAAAGATTTGATCTATACTACACTATAAAAAAGGACATGGTATTCCACCACTAGAAAATCTCAACTAATTGATTACAAACTATGATCTCAACTAGTCAACTTCATAAAAACAACACTCAAGTATCCATCCCAATATTTTAGTATCATCAAATTAATGTGCTCCAAGTTTTCCTCCAGTTCATCCCATTTCAAAAAATTTATCCTAACACTGTGACTTCAATTTTTTTTCTCCATGTGCAGCTCTAAATTTTCCATTACATCAAAGAAGTCATAGCTAAACACAAATGGTCAATCAAGATCAAAACATTCTATTTTCTCAATTTGGGATTTCTCATTTCTAGTGCAAGCAAACCTCCCTCCTTTGCTTCCTCCAATATTCCATTTGAGTCATGGTTCCTGAACTGCACAACTTCAGCAATCATTGCATCACATCCAACGAGCAAAACTGCATTCCTCAACCATTTAACTAGGTTGCTCTCATCAAGCTTGTGAAAGAAATAGAATAAGTTGTCCTGCTTCTTAACTGTTACTTTAAACAGTTGTTTTTTGGATTCTAACACCTTTCTTTAAAGTTAAATCACTACCCCAGCGAGCTTCTCTCTTTTTGGTAGCCATCTTACCATTTTGTCCTTACGCTTGACCTCATTCAATTGCTTTCTTCAAATACAAACCATCAAAATGGAATCCAATTAATACGTTCGATCCCAACCACTGTAGCAAGTTAATGCTTCGTGCTGCATGAACATCAAAAGCTGGATACAGAAGTTAAGAGCAATTCATATGTCTCTACTGCAGTTTACATTGAACTACAGTTTAGAAGACATCATATGGACAAGTGTATTTGTAGATTAAATAGAGATTGGTCAAGCGCTGAAGAAGAAATAACAAAAAACATTTACATTTAAATTATCTAAAGGAACTAAAAGGAACAAAGAACCATAGTATATGATGTGCATGCAATAATTGCTAAAAGTTATGCAACCAATACTTGCACAAGAAAAGGACCAAAATGGTCCCCAGCTCTTTTGAGGGATCAATTTGATCCCTCAAATCTTTAAAAAGGGGCATTTTTAGTCCCAACATCAAATTTTGAGGTTAATGGTGTAAAATCAATGGGTATTTTAGTACAAAGGTGATCTTTAACAAGAACTTTTTGTTAGCAAAAAAAATAAAAAATAAAAACATCTTTAATATGATTAAAATAAATTAAACTGAACATATTTTTCTTGTTTATGTTGGACACATCAAGGTGAGTGGATCAAGTGGTATAGGTGCAACAAAAACAAGCCTTGATCCCACTACATGGTATAGGCTGCATGATCATTTTTCTTTTGTGTCCTATTAAGAGTTAAATTCTCATTTAAATCTAATTAAAAAAAATCATTTTTAATACTTTCTAACCAAGTCTTTTTTAGATCTACCTCTACCTTTCTAAACATAGGTTGGATCTAACACATCTACCCTCCTAACGAAGCCATCAAACGGTCGGCATTTTATGTGAACAAACCATCTAAGGCAACTCTAATCCTATCTTCCACTAGAGCTACTCCAACCTTTTCACATCGTTTGGGTGTTATTGCAAAATATGTAGCATATGGACATTTGCTTTATCTTCAGAATCTTCACAGATGGACATTTGCTTTATCTTCAGGATCATCAAATCATATGTGTAGGTTATTTTTGCAGTTCGAAGTGGGTATAGATAGAGTTTGATAGCATAAAGTTCTCAAGCCAAGGAATAGTTCCATCTCTTTGATATGCCTAAAGATGAACTTGATCTTTTGTTAACCAAAAGTCAACCAAGTGTTTTGATCTTTGTCTTCTATTTTATGAATTGATTACATTATGATGCATGGCTCTGCTAATGTGTTTTAGAATTGTTCATGGATGATCCAGTTGCACTAGTTTCTCCATACATATGACCTATTTGAGATGCAGTGCAATCCTCCATGTTCATGGATCTTACAAGCACTTGAAACTTCAACATTGGCAACAATTAGATATATTTGAAAAACATCCCTATGTGTCAAAAAAGGAGCTAAATACAAAGGAAAACTCAAAATTATTCCATCGCCAACTGTGCAACATGCTCGTTTAAAATTAAATCACGCAACGATAATATATTTTTTGCTCTCAAAATTAGAAAAGCAACCTTGAATGTTTGTTCGACAAGACCAACCAGTGTAGTGAAAGATGATCATTAGGATTGTTAATGGAACTCAATGTCTTATTGTGGGTACAAAAATAGTGAAAATAATAGAGAACTTTCTTCCAAACTCAATTTACTTTATTCCTAATTTGGATTGTTACTTACAACCAATCATAAAATAGATGTAGGATTGCAATTGTATCACCAAGAAGGACAATTGGCAATGCCAGGCAATAGTCAGAATTATACCTACTACCAAGCAAAAAAAAACTTCTAGTTGTAAGACTCTAAATGTTGGTAACTCCTTAATTCAAAATCCATTTTCAAATGGCTCAAATTATGGCAATTATGTGATGCTTTGGCAGTATAGATTAGGGCATCCTACTTTTATGTAGCTTGACATAATGTTTCCTAGTTCAAAATTAAAATTCCTAAATAGTTTCAAATGGAAAGTATGTCAACTCTCGAAACATGCTAGAAATTTGTTTCCAAATCTACCCTACAAAGAATATCAAACCTTTGTAATGTGTGAGACTCATCTTGTGCCAAGCATACCATTTGATCTTGCTAGTTTGCCTCTTTAATTGATTGAGATGCTAGATTATCTTGAGTTTTCCGTGTGGAAAAAAAAAATAGAAGTTGGTCTGATATTTGTATTATTTAACCATCCATTTCTATTCATACAGTCACTACTGGGGCCAAGATAAGGCTATGGCAAAGGCTTAGAGTCTAGGGTTGGGTTGCAAACGAATCGAGCCGAGCCGAGTATGTGAATGTTCATATTTGTGTTCATTTATTATCAGCTTGTTCAAGTTTGGTTCATGTTTGATTCGAGCTTTATTGTTTGTGTTCATGTTTGGTTCATTTAAATTAATGAGTGCTCATGTTTGGTTCATGTTCGTTTCATGTTCAGTTCGTTTAGTGCTTATCGAGCTTTAAACAAACAAGCCTTAAAGAACTATAAACGAGCTCTACTTCTAGATGTTCATTAACTTAACAAACGAGCTTTATCGAGTCTCCTAACAAATAATTACATCGAGTATGTTAGCAAATATATTTAATGAATTTTTTTAAAATATCAAACAAGCATGTTCATGAATATATCTAAAGAGTATTCTTGAGCTATCAAATGAGCAAGTTCACTAACATATATAACTAGTTTTTTTGAGCTACCAAATGAGCTCGTTCACGAAAAACTTCTCAAAACAACAGCTTCTCAAATCAACTTCAGTTAAGAAATGAAATTCCAATTAAACAATCATAGCTTGTAAACATTTTAAACCCATTGCTATAGTATTATTTCTAATTTACGAGTAAATGCGGCACCATCAAAACATATATTGACATGCACACTAAACATATATTAACTCCAACAAGTAAAATCCATTCAAGAATTAATACTTACCAAAGGTCCCATCGGACCTTTCAACTCTAGGTTTACGCTGCTGAAGGAGGTTCACAATGGGTGCCAGATACACAATAGTCTTGCCCGTGCCTGTAGCCGCATTGACAAGTCTAAACGAATTTCGGTTAAAGAAGAAAACAATCAGCAATAGAAAACAAAATTTCTAAATTTTAATGTAATTAAGCCACTATTGATCCATCTAAAACATAGAAGAAGGATACACATCTTTCCCAGAAAGTATAACTGGAATTGCCTGTGCCTGGATCTGAGTGGGTACTTCGAAGCCCATCTTATCTATCAACAAAACGTTTATTACACAATAGGAGCGACAAAATTTACAATATTCCCAATAGAATTGATCGATGGAGAAGAGGTGGAGAACCTTTGAGGTGTTGGCATAAACTTGGATGCAGCCCGATATCTGTGAACGAACAGGAAGCGAAGATCCCTTCGTCGCTCGTTTTGTTTTCCATCGCCTTCTTCATGCCTTTCTCCAGCTGACCCTCGTTAATTTCCTTCATGGCGGGGTTTCGACTCGCTTCTCTCATCTGCATCCACTGACAGGAGTTAGGGTTTACAGTTTTTCAATACAAAACTGGAAACCCCATAAAATCCTAACGACCGGGTTACACCGGATTACGTGAAGAACACATGCCAATGCCATAGCGACTTTTTTAAAGCATTTAGGGCAATTAAGATAAACCAATTAAATAAATATCTACCAAGGTTTAGGGTGATTAGTGGGCGAGCAAGGTTGGAATCTCCCATCCCGAATTCGAATCCCCTTTACTACGACCTTGCCTCTTCAGTGGGGCAAACTAAATATGGGTCTGATGCTAGTGGGTGGCCTTGCTAGGTTATGTCGAGGGATTAGTCACACCGCCAAGCCATCCATTTAGAATGGCAGCGAGTAGATACCCTGTTTCAAAAAAAAATCAAATAAGTAAGATTCAAATTTAAGACATCTTGATTGACAGTCAAAACTTTCAACTAACAGATGAAAATGAGTTGAGATTGTGACTCTCAATTAGCAACGATTTTATCTCATGTCGTATCGGAACAAGGTATCAACTTTTGATATTAGAACAATATAATCATGCTCGAACATTGGAAGTGATACATTGATTAGGAGATTTAAATAAATATAATATTTTTTTAATGTATTTACATATTTAATACTTAAATATTTATATTTAATTATATAATATTTAAACATTTAAATGACAACAATAAAAGAAATATGCATGAAATTTGAAATAGGGTACGATATCCTACCTAAAGTAGAATAATTTTTCTAACTAGTTCAAGAGATGAATACCTCGTAAGCTAAACTTTCTATATCCTCTCCCTCTTTTTGTCTCTAAAAGCTATTTGCCATGAATGAAACAAATGAATGGTTTAACTAAATATATAAATAAAATTTGTCCACTTATATAGAAATATTAATATAATATTATATTTACAATTAAGAAATTATCAATTTTAATATAAATTTATGTAAATCCTTTTTTGTCTCAAAATTCAGAACATAAAATTTATGAAAAAAATATTAAAAAAATGTAAATCATGTATAAAATACACGGCCAAAGAAGATTTGCAAAAAAAAAAAACACCAAATCATTAAAAAAAACAATTTTTATAAAGACATGCTAATTTAATGAAATAAGAAACATCTTATTTGTAAACCTCAATGCTCATTAAAATAGGTAACAATACACATAAAATAGAGTATAAAATGCCCTGTAATTTAATGAAAATAATTTGTAAATCATATATAAAATAAATCCGAAGTTATCTTCACTATCATCTCTTAAAAAAAAAAAAACTATTACTCTGCACTTTTAGTACAATTTTTTTTTTTTTTGGGGACATTTAGGCCATTTAAGGCAAACTCACACACACAACGCATACACATGGACTCGAACCTTGGACCTCTTAATTGGAAGCCTAAGCTCTCAACCAATAGGCCAAGGGGAGTTGTGTTTAGTACAATTTTTCATTCTACTCCAAAAAGAAAAAAAAATTTATTGACATAAAAAGACAATATTGCAGACATCATCTTTCTTTTTATTTTTTTTAATGATGAAATGATCACATAATTAATAGGCGAATGATATGTTTATGATTAAACTAACAGAAATTAAAAGCTAATGATAACTACTAACGAGTAACTTTCAATAGGCTTTGCAGTGTGTAGCCGCCTGTAGGCCGGGTTATTCGGATTGAGAATGATCCCCACTTCATTGGCCCCTCCTATTTATTTTTGTTGATTTTGTCTTCTGGCAACGGGCCAAAGAGAATACTGCATGCAGTACTTATCTGGCCTTATCTGCTGCAACTTGTATGAGGTCCACATTCATTTGATTTTTGAGGACATTATTTTTTCTCATTTTAAAGTATCATAAAATAAAAAAATATGTGTCAATACTTATTGGGTGTGCATTTTAAAATCTAAATATAATTCCAAAATATTTAGAAAAGTAAATATGTATCTTATAGTTATACAACATTATTTAATACACATTACGGAGGAATCTTGTTTATGACAATAGCGCAACATGTCTATATTTGTATGTATATCCTATGACAATTGAGATTATTGACTCAGAAAATAATAAGTCAGTGCTTTGTTGTATTTTATGAGTAAATTGAGGGAGACATTATACACGGTGGAGAATTTTGTGTTTGTCTTTGATAGAAACAACAAAGGCACCTAAATAAGGCTTAAATTTCGATCGTTTACTATATTAGTTGAACTACATGTCATTGATGATGACCTTAATGGTGATGCTAATTTACAGTAGAGGGCATGCACATATAAAATTTTTGATATAGTGGGTCTTTTGCATGAACATATATCAACAAAAACTTGGAATTTGGGTGTTAGTTATTATTGCGTATGTTCAAAGTCCTATACATAAAAACCATTGTTAGCTGCACATGCTAAAAATATATATTTAATAGGTAAAGAATACACTTGAGCGGTTCTATATAAAATAAATATAATTATCTTAGTACTCCATTGGTGAAGCTTATTAGTGGTCATCCAAAGAAAAATAGAACACATTTAAGGGGAGAAGGATGTGATCCAACATAGGTGTAACTGCTGTGGAGTTAGAGGTCATAATTAAATTACTTATAAAGCAAAGTACCCACCATCTTCATAAATCTGTTTTTGGATGGATCAATTGTAATTCATAAAATAGTATTACTAAATGGTTGCATAATGATGTATAGCTTATTATTTTGAAGTGTTATACATATTAGTTGATCACATTTTAGTTGAATTTGTTTTGTTATATATATATGCAATGATTAGTCTATGTTGTATCTACTTTATTTGAACATATTTGAATCTAGTTCGATCATTATTCAACTCATGCATAGGCGGATCCCCATTGGATTGAGGGGGGTGGGGGGTGGGGCAAATGCCCACCAACAACA